GGTGCGTTACACTTGTCCAGATATAATCCAGATACCCAAGACGCATGAAGTGACCAGGTGTAAACCAAGTCACAGAGTCTAATGTGGAGTTTATGGCTACGTTCACATTACCAGGCTGAAGTGGCACAAATCCGCTCTAATGTGACTCAGATCTGATGTTTTCAGAGCTGTGTGGACGCAAATCTGATCTTTTCAAATCCAACCTGAGCCACTTTCATATGTGGTCCTAGATCGGATACGTATCCGATTCATGGCCATGTGACCTTAATGTGATGCTCAGATCGAAATTCATGTGCCTTTTTTCCCCACTGCGCTGCGCCATCATTCAGCGTTACCATGGCAGCAGCGCCGAACAGAAGTTAAAGCCTGTAAACGGTGGAAAAGCAGCTCATCTCACCTTTTTCTCCTTCGTCTCGCTCTAATAATGAAGCTGAGAGCTGATCAGAGTTAATTACCTTCTCAGCGAAGCTCGTTCTGCTCGTTAGTTTGTGCTGATGATGCACGTGATTCATTCACGTGACGTTACTGAGTAGGATGAGCTCATGAGAGTCATTTCAGGACGCCGGTTTGTTCACATTGATGACAGATTTGAGTCACTTACCTAAACGAGTGTGAACCATCATATCAGAGAGATCGGATTTGAGCAAAAAATCAGATTTGAACAATGAGGCTTGTAATGTGAACATAGCCTATGTGTTTGTGGTCGGTGGTTGAAGGTGCCGCTGTGGTCAATAGAGCGTTCTGTCGAGTTCAATTTTCTTAACTGTTGCTTAACTGTTGCTTAACTGTTGATGGATGTTGATTTGGTGGGAGTTTTGGACACTGAAGATCTCAGTGTTGAAGTCCTGGTGCACCCAGTATTATACAGAAATAGAGTACAGAACATTCTCCTGCCTTTTTCCACTTTAAATAGAGAATCGACACTCCTCTCCTGTCATAGTCATCCCTTTCAACAATGACACTGTTACCATGCCGGAGTTTTTATGGTTACATGCCACCATCATGCTGCGTTCAGGTGCTCATTGGAAGATTATATATACCAGATGGTTAACTAGTAAACTTCAATCCATTCCAGTGCTTGTTCGTTGATATGCCCACCACACGGAAAAAGAAAGCATGGAGGTCAGCAGAATGTAATCCTGCCTTTCCCTTGCTGTGTTAAACACATAGATTTAATAGAAGTGAGTCGTTATACATCACAGCTCATAAACTGTATATCGTCTAGAATCCAGAGTTGTAAGTAGGACTTGTCGGTCATTCAAGTGCAATTTACACGTGGAGAAATCTGATATTTCCCAGTTTCCGACACCACTCAATCACAGCGTCAGTTACGTACCGCTATGAGGCCTGAAACAACCTCATGTACATGCAGCATAAGCGTCAGTTGCCTGGACAGAGATTAAGCCTAGTCCTGGACTACACAGCATTCTGAAGGTGAGATTCTCCACTGAAATGAAAACGTAGTCCTGGACTAGGTCTGGAAGATTAATCCCCATCTGGGAAACATACCCTTAGGGATTAAGGGGGTTAAACTGCTGCTGTCACTCACAGGTGGCAATATAACACTTGCTAACATGACTCCTGCCAAAATAATATTATAGACAAAACAACCACCAAAGCCTAAAGACTTGACAAACCCTGTGAAATCTCCATGCTGAGTCATGGCAAGATGCATCAAGAGTGAACTGCCAGAAAGATCTGGTTTAATCCACAGAGACCCAACAGTAAGCTCTGATGACTGGAGACGGAAATGTCACTGCAAATTACAGAATGAACTTTTAAGAAACAGTGTCAAACTCTGTGCCCACCACATCTCATCTATTAAAGTTTATGAAACAACTCACCATCGACTGCCCTGTTGGGTCTTGCATGATGAATTAGGTTTCTTCCTGGGTGTGAGCCACTAATGCAGCCACAGACTGAAGACTAAACAACTAAACAGCAAATAACTGCTGCTAGATTGCACTAAAAAACTTTCGCTTTCTACACTGTGGGCTCTGTAAAGTATCTCCCACCTCGATTAGAGTTTGTGAGCGTGTGAGTCATTAAGGGTGAGCCAAGCTTTGCTAGCCAGCTGAGAGTGGCTGGCCCACGCTGGCTGTGCGTCTGTGTTTGAGAGAGATTTCTTTCTTGGCCGGATCGCACGTAGGCTGCCGTGGCTTTCTCTCCAGGGTGAGCCTACAGGTGCAGGACGTCTGAGCTCCAGGAGATGAGTGGAGAGAGAGCGAGAGAGAGAGAGAGAAAGGGGAGATTGAGCAGATGAGCCTGCAGCTCTAGAGCCCAGAGCGCCAGTCTCATCATCGGCCAAGCCTGTCCTTCCCCTTCCATACAAAATTGATATGAACAGCAGGGTTGACTAGAGTTCAGCCGCGGTGACACGAGAGACACCGACGCTTTCCAGAAAAGCCCTGAGGCGGATGTAACCTCACTTCACACCTCCTTCTGTACCTCGCTCGCTCTCCCTCTCTTGCTCCCTTGCTCCGTTTGGATGTGGCACCTATTTGCAGCCGCGTGTCAAGTGCCCTCCATCAGGCCTAGCTCTCTCTGCATCTACATCTATTTTTAACTGGCTTGTAGAACTGAAACCGGCCTATTGATGCCGTGTGCGGCTGCCATTTGCATCTCATGTGGAGGGTGGGGGGTGTTTGGGGGGGTGGATCACATCAGAAGCAGCTGGTGATTTGGCCAGAATGTGAGTGCGATTGCCTCTAATGCGGGGATGTTAAGAGCAGGGCTTTTTGTTCTGGTCCTTACCCCCTGATCCGCTTCGTGTTTGCACTCTGTACATCTGCTTGTACAGATAACGGTTCTGAAAAGGCCCAGGCATTAAACTCCACAGGCGAGGAATAAAAATACTCGTAGCGGCCTGTGGGACAAGGACAGAAGCATGGATTCATGTGAAATCGCATCCCAGCGATGTATGGTTAACCTGCGCCGGCGAGAGAAAGCGAGTAATGCTTCGGAATAAATGTGCGAATTCCGAAGTGTGGGCGGCAGCTAACCAGCCCATGTCCTGCCTTATCTGGGTGCTGAGAATTTTCGATAGCGAACGTGCAAAGCACCTCACACATCGACTCGATAAACACACCAGGAGGTGTGGGTAATACCAGTGTCATGGGGATTTGGGTGTCATATAATCCTCCAGGCATTGAGGGATTCGGCTCCTTCATAAGATGTTTTTTCCCCCTTCTCTAGGCGCTATTTTCATGCTTGTGAATTAGCATGTGGTGCCAGATTCCTCCTCCTTCTGCGTCAGTTTCTGTGCACAGCCTGAACCGTGGGGATAGTACTGACACCCAGTCAAAGTAAAAGACTGGCAAGCTCCAAGATCTTAGTGATCTCTCTCACACTTTGAGCGGGTCCCTGCAGGACTGGCCTGGCTTCTGAATAGCACGCTAGCTGGTTTGACCTCCGGTGGGCTGCGATCCAAAGCCCTGTTGACTGAGGCAGCTGAAGCGTGAGGAAGCAGGATTGATGACCTCTCTAGTAGTAATTAAAGACCAATAAAGAGACTGGACTGAAAAGAGCTTCAGAATACCAACCAAACAGTACAAAAGCCAGTGACCTAGATCAGCAGTTTGTCCAGTTGAAGAACCAACTTGCAAATCAGCATTTTTAGAGTTACGTTTTCATGTTTGTCCATTTATTGCTGGATAGAATGAATTTAAACTACGCATAGGCCTGGACTGAGTCTTCACATTACAGGTCATCTTATTCCGAGCCCTCTTATAACCGACTTGGGGCCGGGGGTGTTATTTTTTTCTTTTACTTTACCATTTTGTCCTGTAATTTTCCAATAGTCTCCAACACCAAAGCAGACACAGGAGAAAACACAGTGATACTGTGTGAGTTGAGTGTTAATGTTGATCAAATAAAAGAACAAAATAAAGCACAGTTCAGAAAATTGTGGTCATAGTACATTTTCATCCTTAATCTAGTAATTTTATCTAGTAATCTTACTATTAATCTAGTGAGAAAGAACCAAATTGCTAATGTCACATAAACCTTACCATCTGAGAGTTTGTGGCTGCTTAGCTGAGCCCTTTGCCTTCTCTGCTCCAGTTTCACCTGAAGCCATTTGAAACGACCTGTTTGCCCTGACGAACGAGAGCTGAGACGTGTTTTTACTCATGTGTTTTTCTCATGAGCGAAGTCATTATTCAGTCTGAAACATGACGCTGTGGTGTGAGGATGTCCTAAAATGTATTTTGTACCATAGAAGTGTCTTTTTATACAAGCATGTGTGTGTCTGACCAGCCCAGCCACTTAGCAAGAACACTCTCATCTGTTAGGTTTAATAAATGTTGTATTAATGTAGGATGTCACATCATCCAATATTTGAAACTTCAGTTATGTTTACGTTTGGTAACACTGCTGTCTTGCTATGATTAGGTCAAAATAAATTTATCAAATAAACAACTTTTAACTGGTGGTACATTAGTTTTTACAGTCACTGGAAACTGCAGTAACTCGATTAACTAACACTAGGCATGATAGAAGTTGCACTTTTTGCCAGTGATATTAAAGCATGTTGTATATTTTATGTCGGTATTTATCTCTTATCTCTTATCACAGTTCAATGGAACATTGAAAGTTTCAGTTTCAGTTGGTAGCACATTTGTGTTTGTAAGTTGAAGAGGAGATGATTTGAATTTGATTGCAAAAGAATGTATTTATCATACTTCCCTGGGAAAGTTGGAAGTGCAGATGTAAATGTAGTATATTGTGTAGCTGTGCAATGTTGTAGTTATGCAATTACATTTAAATATCATAGCAAAACGACTGTAATAACTCTGAACGTCTGAGGGTTAAAAACACAGCTAAGTGTCTCCTTTCTGTGAGTGGAAGCTTAATTATCTGTGACGGAGCGCTCAGCTGTCTGTAGTGTGTTTTAGTTGGTGTATGGCCACATCCGAAGTCATTTCTAAATCAGCTCTGGTCTGAAGTCTGTGGCTGCCCGCTGAGGATTTTGCGGTGAGTGATTTTTTGTGTCTCCGCAGGTGGTCGCTGAACGGCACACTGATTGATCTCAGGGCCGACCAACGCCGTCGGCTGTCTGGGGGGAACCTGGTCATTAGGAGTCTGGAGCGGGCCCAGGACGCGGGAATCTACCAGTGCACTGCCTTCAACCCGCTGGGAGCCATTCTCAGCAGGAGAGCCAGCCTCCAGTTCGCATGTGAGTCACCCACTGTATACCACAGCATGGTCCTGACCCGGTGAGAGCCGACTGCTGTTATGAACGGTCACACTAAACATTGTGCTGTTAAAGGTCAGAGCACTAAGCCTGGACTTGGGGTGGGCAAAATATAATCACAATATTTGAAGACATTTTCATGATACACAATACGCATCATGGTCCTTTTATGTGGAGATCATTAAGCTGGAACACTAACAAAACCAGTGCACTAACAAAACAGTACTGCAATGTTTAAATAAAGTCCAAATATTTTTATCGTAAATTTTCACAAACTGCACATTTACTATTAAGCAGTTAAGCAGAGCTGACTATCCTGTCATGGACATCCAGCATGGTTGGGATTCTGACTCTCGAATAACTGTTGAATATTTTCATTTTTGAATGTTCTATCAAATTATCTTGAACATTCACATATTCTGTAAGAATAAGATGAGCACTGTTGCAACAGTTGGGTGTATTTTGATGTTTAATTAAGCATAATTGAAATATTATAAGATAATAAAGAATGTTAATGATAAAAATTCTTTTAATAGCAATTAAAATTGCGTTAAAATGCTAAACCGGGATCCCTGTCCAAACTAGCATCTTTGAAGTGGTGCAGGAAAGCGTTTTGGTCAGCTCTTATCAGTGAACATGGGAGTAAAGAAGGTTTTTAGGCCACTCAAAGGCTTTATACCGGAGCACACACCAAACTCAGCTGGGCCGGCTATTGCCCACTGCAGTGGCATAAGTTTCCTACAGCTCTGGACGTTTAGCTAGCCTTCACACTCCTTTATTCTTGGTAATAAAAGCAACTGAGAGCAAGCTAGCTAGCAATCTGGAGCAGCAGAAAACTTATTTAGACCATTTTTATCACCTTAAGTTAGTCTCACAAGCTGTGCTGAATTGCGATCTCCAGTAAATCCAGTGTGGAGAGTGGGCAGCTGCATGCTACTGGTGACGACCTAACATTCAGTTTGATAACAAAACATTTGTTCGAATTTATTTAATATTAAAGAATAGTATAAAATATTTCTTGCAGTCCTGCTCTGAATCTCCAGACAGCCACGGTGAGACCTTATTTAAAAGCCTACTGTGAACCTCTTTTAGTTAATCATTCACTCAGCCAATATTCTGTGTGTACGACAAAAACTCAGAAACAAGAACCAGAAACTGGTTATGTTGGATGAAGCAGAGCTGTGCTGGGGCTAGTCGTAGGCTAGCATGTATAACTCAGTAGCTACACTGTCAGAAAACATACTATCCACGTTACTCCTGCACCCCATGATGCTTTGAGTGACTTATAAACAGAACTTTGGGTAAAGTGTTTACAGACAGTGTGTTAAATCCTTATAACATTCTAGCACAAAATGAAAATGTAAGTGATCTTTGTTGTTGGGATGCTTGAATGCTTTTGTCCCGATGTTTCTAGTCGATGTGTCAACAGAAACGTGAACCTGCATCAGAGAAGCGCTTTATTCAGGGGATTCTATTTATAGCCTACATGAATTACTTAGGCCAAAAAAAATCATTTCATTTCAGCTTTTTAATTTTGTTCATGCTGTCAGGTACAGACATAAACCCATAAAGCAACGGCATTACATAGGCTGTGTTCACACAGCAGGTAAAAGTGACCCAAATCTGATTTTTATCACAGAATCTGATTTTTTGTTTGGCTGTTCACATTATCTTTTAAATGTGATCTGTATCATCAGTCTGAACAGATCAGCTCCTAAACTGACCCACATGCACAAAAGAGCAGAGCGTCACGCTGCTTCACGGCTCATCCAGAGGTAAACAATCACAACCGCCAACGAAAGCCAGTCGCTCCTGGAGGATCAGCTTCATCTTCACCAGCATCACAGGAGCCATCATGAAGTTCCAATGGTTGACAGCTGGGCTCATCACCCAGAATGTGTTCAAGCCGTAAAAAGGGCACGGTCACTTCTTTGATTAGTGTCCTTGGATTCTGTAAACTGTTTTTGACTCATTCTCTTATGACTGCGTTCAGCCAATTCTTTCGAAATCTCTTCAAACACGGAGCGGTTGCAAGAACTTTCTTCTAATTTTTAATATAAAAACATCAGCCTAAATGTTTGAGTCTCATCAGCGCGAAACTAAGAAGACTATTGAGTTGGATTGACAAAAAATCTGTTCAGACCGAGTCGCACTGCTGCAGATCGGATACGTGGATTTCAGTACCACATATGAAAGCGCCTCAAATCGGAATTGAAAATGTCAGATTCAGTGTGTTTATCTGTTCACACTGACACACATCTGTGTCACATATGAAGGAAAAGATCAGATTTGGGCCACTTTTACCTGTTGTGTAAATGAAGCCATAGCATGTTTAATGGGCAAGGATTTCAACAATAACCACTGGGCTTTTTCAAGCAGTGATTGTGAAGCCGTGAGCACACAATCATTGACTTAAACTAAAATAGTAATGAACGACACTTCTGTTTCCCAACTCAATGTTTTGGCAATACTTGAAATACAGCAGTCGCATAAAAAGAGGTACAAGTACAAGTACAGGTTCATCAGGTACAACCAATGTAAATGCACCCTCAACAATTAAGGTCCATTTATGTACAGTGACTTTTAAAGGTACACTACATTCACTGTACCTTTCAAAAAGATTCAAAAAGATTAATCCCATTTCAAAGCGCCATATTTTTACTACCATGAGGCGCCTAGGAACCAATCACAATCCAATTGAAAGAGGGGGTCATAGAGTTTCTGACTGTCCGTGGAAGATGGCTCGTGGGCAGTGAACCTCCAGCAGCTCAGAGCGTTCGTCGTTGGTTCCACAACACTGGATGATCTCCGAAATCGCACTGAAAGAGCCGTGAGTGCAGCGACACCCGACATGCTCAATCCAGTATGGGATGAATTTGACTATGGCGTCGATGTTTATGCTCATTTAAGGCATTTACAGTTTACAAGTGAAATAAATCATTTTAAAATAGAAAAAAAATGATCCTGGAGTGAAGACATTGTGTATGGAGTCAGACGTAGCTTAAAAACTATAGCTATAATGTAATATAAGTGCTGAATACATAACCTTGAGGTTAGCTGCTCAGTGACAGTTCAAAAACTTTCTTTCTGAGAGTGAAAGTGTCGCAAAGTCACAAAGGAGACTCCGCAGCAGCTCCTTCGTTTCTGACTGGTTCCTCTTCTCCTCCAGCTCCTCCTCATCCTGTTCACCATTCATGGCACTCTTGTTTTGTCCTTAGCAGTTCAGAAAGTCTTGCCAAGCTGTTGTAGCACTACAGAGCCTCATTACGAGTTTTTTCTTGTTTCTGCTTCTGGTATTTCTGTGTATGACCTTTTCCTGGCTGCTGTTGTTTGCTGATTACAGATTTGACTGCGATAACCTTGTCTGCCTTTGTTTTTGAGCGTTCTGCTCGTATTGAACTCGACTCCTGGAAAAGCCCAAATAAAGCAACCTCTGCATCCTCCTGCCTACGACTCTCAAAACATTCCGCAAGGCTAAAAAAAGAAATGTGCTCTCTAAGCTGATGATGTACCTCTTCTGCAGTCGCTCAACAAATCTTGCCGCCACGAACACCGTCTTACTTAGAACAGCCGAGCCACTTACGCTGAGAGACCTTTTCTGTCAATAATTAGTTTGTCTTATGACTGTGGCTGTCGCTGGCCTGCTAATGCTGTTTATAGCTGGGTTTAGTTTCTGATGCATGCTCGCTGAGGCAGCAGAGCCAGAGCCATAAACAACCTGATTGGCTACAAATGAGTATCCATTTTTTCCCTCCGCCATAAAAACGTTAACGTCGTCATTGTTTCAAGCTTCACCTCTTGCACAATTGAGCGCCTAGATGGAATATGAATTGCTAAAACACCTAACGGAAACGACCTTCCGGAACAAATGATCGTTATCATGGGGGTTTTAATTTGAGATAATTACTGATACTATTCTATCGCCCTGGCCTGTTATCAGCTACTTAATTAGAATCAGCAATTACATCAGAAATGTGTGCTTTCTTACCGAGTGGGCGAGGAGTAAATGCTTTATACTCATCTTTCAGTTAATGAATTTCAGCTTTTCCTACTGCTGCTCTTTTTATATATCATTTTATTTTAGATTTTCACCACCCTCAAAATTGTCTTTTTTTTCCCAACATCACAGACTTGAATTTCAAAACTCAGACGAGAAGTGCTGTGTCAGTGCGCGAGGGCCAAGGAGTCGTTTTACTATGTGGTACGCCTACATACGCAGGAGGTGAGGCCAGAGAACATGGTCTGTTTTGCTTGAATGCTTTTTCAGTCTTACGCCATGTTTTATTTATGAATCACTCAAGGCTGAGCTTAACTTTAACTGCTGTAGAGCTGAAGAATTGATAACTTACATTTAAGCGTGATGTAAAACTAAAACACACGCTTTTCACAGTTCATGTTTTATTACACCTAGCACTAGGGATTTATGAATAATAGATTTTATTTACACTTTATATAGAAGTCTCGATTTAATGATTCAGTGAAACATTCATGACGCTTACATAACTTACAAGTACGATATGGACTGTTCTGCCGAATTACTTCAAACTGCACAGTAAAAAAGTATAAAAAAGGAAGTATTAAACATTCTAGATGTTAGAAGGATTATGCTATCATGTCTATTTAAACTCATGACATTAATTGATATAGTAATAAGTTAATATATCTCTGTAGTCGGAAGAAAACCTCATATCTCCAAAATGGTAACTTTGCAGGAGAAGGAAAAAACATGCTTTACTTTTAATGTAAGTCAATGGAACCAGACTTACAAGTCATTTTGGGTCATTTCTTTTTCTCCATTCATTATAAGGTTTACATGCAATGTAAAAGGCAACAGACATTTTCAAATTATGTCAAAAACTGAAATAAACGACAAAAATTTAAAAAGATACGAGGTTTTCTTCCAACAACAGCGATACACAAAATCATATTTTTTAGGGGATTTTCTGTTGGGAGGTGTCTGTCCCAAACTCTAACCCCTAAATTTCAACTTTTAAAAATAATACCTACCTTTTTAGCTGAAGTTGAAAGATCCAAAAAATGCTGTCCTACATTTTCATGTCACATGGGCGGACTCTTGTTTTAGCCACACCCCTCATTTTAGAGCAGGAAGTGAGGCTGCATCTCTGTCCCTCATGGCCACATGGAGAGCAGTTAGATCCCGTTGTTTTGAAGTAAATGTGTCCCAAAGTCTGAAAATCAGTGACAACCGTAATGAATTTTCCACAAATAAGTAAACTTTTTTGTGTTTTAATGAAAAATATCATGATTTAATGTGTGTACAACTGTTCAAAGCTGTGTTTGCTGGTCATATACTGGCTAGCATTTTTGAGATCTGCTCAAAATCAGCACAAAATAATCACAACACTACCTGAACATTTGGTAAAGTTTTGGTAGTGTTGTGAATGTTTTGGTGGTGAAAAAATGGCTTTTAAATAGGGTCATTCAAAGCAGAAGGAACTCAAGTCCAAGCCAGTCAGATTTATTTTGAACCAGTTCAGTAAAATGATCCATATAAACGTTTAGGAACAACAATTACAGCCATTATGTCAACAGCCAGGTACAACACTGCCCATGATTGTCTACCCAGCCTGCAGTTGTCTGCATAAGCGTTTATCAATGTGTTTACATAAGTGAGTTATGTAAGTATGAGTTATGCTGGGTCCCTAATTATGGACCTTAAACTGAAGGGTAACCCAGATTTGCAGTACTGTGTGATGTAATTTATACACTAGACGTTATGTAATCTTTGTTGGGGGGGTTTGTCTGTTGCCTGTCGTGTCCTCTTTAGACCTGTCCTTCGCCTGGGTGTTCAACGAGTACCCGTACTTTGTCCAGCAAGACAACAGACGTTTTGTCTCTCAGGAGACGGGAAACCTTTACATCGCTAAAGTGGAGCCGTCGGACGTGGGGAACTACACCTGCGTGGTGGTAAACCGCATCACGAAGGGCAAAGTGCTCAGCTCTCCTACCCCTCTGGTGCTGAGAACAGACGGTGAGGAGGTTTTGCGATCATAGCTGATGGAAAGGAATGGTTTGATAGGTTACTCAGCGCCTGCGCTAGTCTGTGTTAACGCGCATGAATTGATGCTTTATGGATTGTTTGAGGAACATTAAAAGTGGCTTGAAGCAGCCCTCACAACAGTGCCATATTGCATGCTTTTTCAGTTGTAAACATCATCTGGGGAAATCACACACATCATCTCGTCTAACTAGACTGTCTTTGGGCAACTGAAACATACCTGCAATACATATGAATGAAACCATGGGTGTAGTTTCGATACTCCTGGTGGGAGTGGCAGTGACCGTTTCAGCTAAATCACTTCTATCTGTTTTATTTTTGGTATATTAGCGAGCATTCTTTCATTTGAAATCAGCTCATATGTACAGTTATTTGCAAATGTTTGTGAGCCCCTGGTCACATGACATGTTTAGTTGATTTTCTGAGTGAAAATAAGTAAAACGTCCACTACAGAGAACACACTTGTGCCCATTTTCATGCACAATGACTGTTTATTTGGTGAATTTAACACAATTTAACAATTGCTCAACTTATTGGGAGAAAATAAAACAAATTATGACCTGTGCAAAAGTTATGGTACATGTTATATTTTATGTTTTTCCCCCAATATGTTAGACTCATTAAATAGATAGAAATTGTGCACTAAAACTTGCAGAAAAATGCATTTTTTAATACGTTCCCTCTAGCAGAACATGCCATTTACCATGGGTTATTCAGACTTTTGCTGTACTGTATTCATGTTAGGGTCTCTATATGTAAATAATTCATCACCAACAAACTGCAGCAATACCAGCTTAAAAGGGGAATTCCACTGATTTATCAGCGTTTTTGGATACGTATTATTCATTAATAATTAATATGAAAAACTAGTGGGGCCCTGGTTTGAGGCAGACATTGTCAGAAATCCAAGCCAAACGTTTAATGAGCAAGTCAGGGGTGACAGTAACAGAAAAAACTCCCCAAAAGCACAACAGAGAATCACTGAGAAGAAAAAAGACTCAAAAGACGCACATGTTCTCTTCTTGTTAACACTGGATGCTGGTATCTGCACTTGCTTTATATTCGCTGTTGACGGAAGGAAAGCTCATATCTCCAAAATGGTAACTTTACACGAGAAGGAAAAAACCTACTTTACTTTTAATGTAAGTCAATGGAACCAGACATTTCTCCGAGTCATTTTGAGTCGTTTCTCTTGGACCATTCTTAATGTAATTCACACTCAATGTAAAGGGCGACAGGTATTTTCAAATTATGTAAAAAACTGAAAAATTGAGATACGAGGTTTTCTTCCGACAGCAGTGATATGTTATGTTGGCTGTACACTATATAGACTCTTTTTCCCTTTATCTTAAAGCTGCACTACTTTGAATAGCAGTTAGGCCTTTGGTTTTCCTGGTTAGCACCCCGAACTGCTCTCTAGGAAATCTCACCTCCGTTCTGCTGTTGCTTTCTTATAAAACAAACCTTGCCAATGGCTGAATGAAATATTCACCACCAGTGCAAAAGCAGCTGCAAACACCATGCCTCACCACACCGCCTCAGCCCCCAGATCGGCGTGAATTATTTGTGGCCTTTGTTGTATCTCGTTCTCCCGAGCTCAGGTCGAAGATAACACTTCCCTCCCACCAAGAGTCGCCCATGTGGTTTTAAAGCTCACGTGCCGTTTGTGCTCATTGTTATGCACATGTCTCGAGACGTATATGAATTATGAATGGATAAACAAACTCTTTTGCGTGCCGTAGGAGCGATGGGTGAATACGAGCCCAAAATAGAAGTTCATTTCCCCGACATGGTTCCAGCCGCCAAAGGATCTGTCGTTACGCTGGAGTGTTTCGCTCTGGGAAAGTAAGTGGAATTCCACAGCTTTTTCAATCAGTCAGTCGCTGTTTCTTTCTCTTTTAATGGGGATCTTGACTTTTCAGGGCCAGGCGTGTTTTTCCACCATGCTCGGCTTTTCCCGCCTACTCTCACCACCTTTTAAATTATGCCTGTCAAAGTCTGTTTAGGGATCATCGTATAACAGCAACCTTTTTTTTTTCTTTATTTATGGATTTTTTTTGCCCCAAAGCAGTTTTGCTGGCTCACTTGATCCCATTAGTGGATGAGCTATACGTGTTTTTCTCACTTTTCTCCTGTGAAGCTGCCTAAAAGGCAATGAGGGTGATGTAGCGTGAACAAATTTCAACAGAGTAAAGTGAGTGAAGTCAGTTGAGCCTGAAAATTCGGAGTAACTAAACGGAGGCCCTCCACACAATGTCAGAAGTAAGCAGGATCTCAGATCTTCTGCAGGAAAAAAAAGGAAAAACAGCAGCTTTTTTTGCAATTCTGCTGATTAACTTGATCCCATTAGTGGATGAGCTATACATGGTTCCCTACATCCCTCATGCAGACACTGGAGAAGAGGAGATTAAAAGGCAGAAATAGCTGTTTTTGTGCAGGCAAGGGGTAATTACTACGTTAACAGCATCACCGTATGAACATTTCTAATTGCCTTGTTAGAAGGACGCGTCATATTTTTCTCTCCTCGACTGTTTCAGTCCAGTTCCCGAGATCACGTGGAGAAGGGCTAACGGAGTTCCGTTTCCCAGCAAAGTGAAGATGAAGAACTCCAATGTTGTTCTGGAGATCCCCAGTTTCCAGCAGGAGGACGCAGGGGGCTACGAATGTGTGGCAGAGAACAAGATGGGCAAGAACACCGTGAAAGGACGGCTTTCCTTCCACGGTACGTTTCTGACCACATCTGTTCTCCTCCCGTCATAAACCATGAGCTGGTTCTGTGAGATTTGTTTCCCCAGACACATTAGCATTCACTTGCAGGACTAGTCTCAGACTGTTTTTGCTTTGAGCTTTGGACTCCAAAGCGAGATAACCATGCATTGTCACTCCATCATTTCTAATTCTTGTCAGCATTTCAGAGCCAGGAACTCTGCCAGTTTTTGCCATTTCACGGGAGTTTTTCAGTCAATTATTTTCTTTTCAGCGCTTTCCTTCTCTGTCTTGACTCTCATACGGTTTCCATGACCACATGGCTCAGAACAAAAAAAAAAAAATGAGATTCATATAATTGGTGTTGGCAGCACAGTGTTGTGTGCATTAACAAGTGTCAGTGGTGTTAAATGTTGATGGAAACTCCATTTAGTTTATTCAGGAATTGGGAAAGGTGGCAAACAGGAGCGGGTGTTTTTGCGGAGAGTCAAATTAATTACTTCTGAACTGATTATCACCAAGATGCCAAAATCACTTTTTAGACGCTGTATACAAGCTAAAAAGAAGATTACTGGAGAACTACTGATGAGGATGTGGGTTTCTGAATGCAGCTGTTTACACATGACATTGATCAATCTGGTGAATGCAACACAAAGAAGTGTCTATTTTTACTGCTTCATCCACTCGTCTCTGTTTCTTGGTGCTGTTGTTGCGTTTATTTTGTAAAGGGGTCATTCTACAGAAACGTCCACTTTTCTATCTGTCCATAGGAGTCACTGGTGTTACTGATCGTCATTGGTGTTACACATAATAAAGGAACACCAGAGACATTTTTGTAGACATATGTAAAATGTAAAAAATGTAAAAGTAACTGCCTATGAAATGTAACTTGGACTGAGTACAGATACTTTCTGTATTCTGAATACATATTCACAGTATTGTATTCTGTTAGATCCCAACCCTGCTAAGGATCCATGCTAACATAACAATAATAATGTAGTGTTTAAACCTGGAAGCTTTAATATGAGATTTAGCAGTGGCGCAGTTGTAAAATGCTTCAGTTGTGATATCAGAGAGTTTCAGGTTCAAATCTGAAGCGAAAGTGTTTCCATGTTGGAGACTTACAGCGTCTAATGTGCCTGTTTTCACTGTTCACTGTGTACCTTGCAAATAAAGCGAGTCAGTAAAGCAGTCTGCAAGTTCGGCTTAAAATATTTTATGACAAACTATCATGGACTAAAGCACTCTTCTTCACAGATGTGGCGGCACTTTTTGTCAGCTAGAACATTTTGTCTGCAGGATTCAACTTGAAAAAGCAAAACGAAACTTTTTCTTTCTGAAGTTTGCTGCACGTTTACGACCCAACACTGAAATAAATTATCACTATTTACTATTTTACTATTTTATCACTGTTTATATATATACATATACATATATATTTATATATATATATACACACCGATCAGGCATAACATTCTGACCACCTCCTTGTTTCACTGTCCATTTTATCAGCTCCACTTACTATATAGGTGCACTTTGTAGTTCTACAGTTACAGACTGTAGTCCATCTGTAGTACCCTGTTCTTCAGTGGTCAGGACCCCCATGGACCCTCACAGAGCAGGCACTATTTGGGTGGTGGGTCATTCTCAGCACTGCAGTAACACTGACGTGGTGGTGGTGTGTTAGTGTGTGTTGCGGAACTAGGACTAGAGGATGACCAACACAAACTGTGCAGCAGCAGATGAGCTATCGTCTCTGACTTTACATCTACAAGGGGGACTGACAAGGTAGGAGTGTCTAATTGAGTGGACAGTGAGTGGACACAGTGTTTAAAAACTCCAGCAGCACTGCTGTGTCTGATCCACTCATACCAGCACAACACACACTAACACACCACCACCACGTCAGTGTTACTGCAGTGCTGAGAATGACCCACCACCCAAATAGTGCCTGCTCTGTGAGGGTCCATGGGGGTCCTGACCACTGAAGAACAGGGTACTACAGATGGACTACAGTCTGTAACTGTAGAACTACAAAGTGCACCTATATAGTAAGTGGAGCTGATAAAATGGACAATGAGCGTAGAAACAAGGAGGTGGTCATAATGTTATGCCTGATCAGTGTGTGTATATATATATATTTAATTATTATTATTAGTAGTAGTAGTAATAATGTAATTTTATTTATACATATCTGTGTGTGTGGATGTATATAAAATTATTACTAGTGATAAATTATTATAATTATTTAACTAAATTCATTTCATACAAGTTACTGAATAATGAGCTTAAAATGAATTCCTAAGTCTGGAATACTATATAGGTGTTTAAAGGAGTTCTTAACAGTTCTTTATCTGGTCCTCGGATCCCCAGACAGTCCACAGTTTTATTCTGTTCCTGGTCCAAATGCAAATCTATAGAATCCTGCTTACAGGAGGTGAACGATGAGGGGTGTTCACACTCTGTTTTTCTGGAGGTGAAAAAAAGAAGTGTGTATTTTTTCTTGAGGGCTCACACGGCATTTTTTTTAGCACCTCTTCTGGCAGCGCGTCTCTCTGTTGCTGAGCAACAACATCCTGTCAGTCGCCTGTGATTGCAGCCCTTTGTTTCAGTGTTTTCAAGCAGGAAGTTTAACTAATACAGTTAACCAGCAAACGTGGTGTTAAACTTTAAAAACACTGAAGATTTTATTGTGCAGTGTCACTCTTTTGTGGCTGATTCCTTAGGAGAAATTAGACAAAAAGGAGGCATGAAATGCTTGAGAGGTGAAGAAGAGATGGGAGTTTAGTTGCAGATAAGCATGAGCGTTGTTATCTTGGCAAATCTGAGCGTTTGACTTTATTGAGATCTCTACTAAAGGCTCATGAGGACTGCACCTCAGCTTCAGCTGTGAAACTTATAAATTACAAGTTTTTGTTTAGTCACCCTTTGAATGACTTACTCCCACAGAAAAGAGGAGAAAGGTCTGGCAAAGCCTTGAGGAATCAAAATGAACTGACATGCATTGCAAAGACTAACAGACTGAAAATGGAACATTGGTTAAACTTTTTAGCATCAGTTATGAATATTTATGATCGTTCATTATAGCAGAATCAGCGTTGCAGTATTTTAGTCACTCTTGTATTCTTGAACGTTCTTACTCGTCCAGTTTGTATATTTATATTTAACCTTTGGTTGTATTATAGTGGACAGTGTATTGCTTGTTATGTACCATCTGTTGCTCAATTCAGTTTTACAGTGATACAGAGTAAAATACATCTACTTATATAATCCTGAGAAGAGATATCTGAGCAGCAGGAGACTTAAGCAAAAGTCTCATTTGTCTTTCCATCTGATCTCATTGTTGTCTAGAAGAAACTGTAGAGATATTAAGGAGATCACTGTTATGTTTTTCATTATTTCCACTAATCTCGCCTCCATAACAGCTGTCAGTGAAGACCTGCCTTACCTTTGATCTGACTTATCAGCACAGACAAAACACTCATGGCATGGGCAGCTTGACTGTGCTGAGCTGAGCCTTTTTAGGACGCAGCCACATAGAGAGCATTGAAGCGAGATAGCTAATGCGCGTAAACAGTGTACGTCTGTCCTCAAACATGCTTACAGTGGTAACGGTGTAGATCACATACAGTATATGTTACAGGAAACACAGACAAGTCACTTCATAAAGTACACCTTCTTGTATCTACGCTCATTGTCCATTTTATCAGCTCCACTGACCATATAGTTTCAGTCTGTAGTTCTACAGTTACAGACTGTAGTCCATCTGTTTCTCTGATACTTTGTTACCCTGTTCTTCTGCGGTCAGGACCTCCATGGACCCTCACAGAGCAGGTACTGTTTGGGTGGTGGATCATTCTCAGCACTGCAGTAACACTGATGTGGTGGTGGTGTGTTAGTGTGTGTTGTGCTGGTCTGAGTGGATCAGACACAGCAGTGCTGCTGGAGTTTTTAAACACCTCAGTGTCGCTGCTGGACTGAGAATAGTCCACCAACCAAAATTATCCAGCCAACAGCGTCCTGTGACCACTGATGAAGGACTAGAGGATGACCAACACAAACTGTGCAGCAGCAGATGAGCTATCGTCTCTGACTTTACATCTACAAGGTGGACTGACAAGGTAGGAGTGTCTAATAGAGTGGACAGTGAGTGGACACAGTGTTTAAAAACTCCAGCAGCACTGCTGTGTCTGATCCACTCAGACCAGCACACCACACACTAACACACCACCACCACATCAGTGTAACTGCAGTGCTGAGAATGATCCACCACCCAAATAGTACCTGCTCTATGAGGGTCCATGGGGGTCCTGACCCCTGAAGAACAGGGTAACAAAGTATCAGAGAAACAGATGGACTACAGTCTGTAACTGTAGAACTACAAAGTGCACCTATATAGTAAGTGGAGCAAAGGGTATAGAGACTGTAGATAGACGCTTAATGAATTGGCTGATTGGTGTATATTACATCACAATATGCTTTTCTGAGTACATTATGAATGTGGTCACCTAACCAAGGCTGACCAGTTTTCATCAGAAAGAGGTTTAGTCAAGGCTCCCAAGTGGCCTGACTGCCAAAGTTGTCAGGGGACCTCAGTAATGCTGGAAGTTCAAAAAGTGTTTAATTGGATATAGTGATGTGCAGTAAGTGAAACTTTGGTTAAAACTCATTGTGTTCACCATTTTTCATATCCTTTTCACTACTGTTCTGTCTCTTCCAACTTATCAGACTTCAGAAATATCATAATGCATATTGTGTATCAAGAAAACTGTCATGATGTTGCAGTTGTGCCATATCGCTCACTCCTTACCTGGCTCAGGTGAATTAAGTTCTGACTGGGGGTCCCAGTGGACTGAGTTATAAACCTTTGATCCAAACAGTGTAATGTACAGTGCCTCATTATCTACAGTATCTTATTATCTGCCAGCAGCTTCAGAGTGATCCCCATGCCGTTTGGACTATAGAACGTCTCGCAGTAGCCAGATGATACGTCTAATTATCAGGCTGCTCAGTGGA